GCCCCTGATCTCCAAGCACTCACATTCAAGTTTAAGAGTAGGTAACAAATGGATTAAACAAATATGCACATAAAGAATGCCACAGGGTCAGGGATAAGTGACAGGAAGCATGAGAAGGGACAGAGAGTGCCCAGGGTGTCATTCCTTTGAGGGGCAGGCAGGGAGAGTCTCTCTGGGGTGGTGATGTCTGAGCTAAGACATTGCTGAAGAAGGGTGGTATCAGAGGGATGGCAGGCGCAAAGGCCCTGTGATGGGGTCATGCTAGGCATTTTTCAGAGCAAGTGACTGATCCATAGGCAAAAAGAACAGGGGAGAAAGAGGGAAGAGAGAGGGAGGGAGGGAGAGGGGGAGAGAGAGATACTCAAGACAGCTAGGGGAGCTGACCTAGAACTTGGCCTTTCTGTTTTATTCTAAACTCAGCAGGAAGCTACTGGAGAGTTGCTACATGTATGTATGCATGTACATATTTGAAATAGTCTTAATAACATGTGTATGTCTGTGTGTCTGTGCACATGTTTATGAGCACCTGCCAGAAGAGGGCACCAGATCCCTTGGAGCTGGGGTTACAGACAATCGTGAGCTGCCTGACATGGTGCTGGGAACTAAATTCAGGACCTCTGCAAGAGCAGTATGTACTCTTAAGTGCTGAGTCCCAGGTATGTGTCTGTTTAAGATTGATTTTTATGTGTATGAATGTTTTGTATGAATGTATGTATGTGCACCATGTGCATGCAGTGCTTATAGAGGCCACAAGAGGGCGTTAGATACCCCCTGGAACTGAAGTCATTGGTGGGTGTGAGTCACCACGTAGGTGCTGAGGACCAAACTCAGGTCCTCTGCAAGACCAGTGCTTCTACTCATGGAGACAGCTCTCCAAGGCCGTGTGTGTGTGTGTGTGTGTGTGTGTGTGTGTGTGTGAGACTTATTTATTTTTATGTGCATTGGGATTTTGCCTGCATGTATGTCTGTGAAGGTGCCAGGCCCCTGGAACTGGAGATGTGGACAGTTGTGAGCTGCCCCGTGGGTGCTGGGAATTGAACCCAGGTCCTCTGGAAGAGCAACCAGTGCTCTTAACTGCTGAGTCATATACAGGCCCCAGCTGTATATTTTTAATGAGCCTTTCTTGTTGCTCTGTGTTCAGGCACAAGTGGAAACAGCAGATCCAGAGAGGCAGCAGCTGTGGTCATGCGGGAGGGAGGTAATGGGGTCTTAGATGGTGAGCTGGGAGAGCAATGGTAGAGTTGGTGAGAGATGGTCAGGTTTGGGATGTGTTTGGAAAAGAGCTACCCTCAGATTCTGAGTCTGGATGTGGAACGAGGAGGAAGCAGGACTGTTCTGACTTTTGGTGGGCAAATGGGAGGGCAACACATGACCTGAGGATTAGGAAAAAACGGCAGAACATCAAGGATTGGCTTTGGATACATCATTCACTTTGAGATCTCTGCAGATACCAAAGTGGGCTCTCTGAGCCTGCGTATCCCAGAGAGACCCAGAGGCAGAGCTGGGCATGGTAGGTTGTTCTGTGACTGTTACCTGACCCTGCAGTGTCCTCCAGTGCTTCTTAGTCTCCTCCTCAGGGCTTTCATTCGTACAATTCCTTGGCTAACTTGTTCAACCTAATGGTCCCAGTTTTAGGGAGCTGGAAGCTTCCCTGCATTCCCTGTGGACACCAGAGTTCCCTAATGTGATCATGGCTTACTGCTTTCCTTCTGCAGCACTATCCGTGTTTGTAATCGGGGTCAGTAGTCACCGAATTGAGCTGGAATCTTGCTCAACTCCTGGCCGGTCAGTACCAATGTCCGCTGCACATTTCAAACCCAGTGGTTTCACTGGCTTCCCCCTGGACTTCTGTTGTGGAGGCTGGGGACGTAGAAAGGCCTTTACAGGATATCAGCCCCAGACCAAGAGAAGGGCCATGGAGCTCCTACTCTACCCGGGCCTTCAGTGCAGAAAGGCATGTTTGCTGCTCCCATCCTTTCTCTGAAGAGCTTCATTATTTATTCTGGAATAAAAAAATATACTTTTCTTCAGCCCAAGGCCCCAGCCTTCAAGCCAGCCTTGAGAAAAGAAAACTCCCTTGCTCCACAGCTCCCACAAGAGCATTGCCTGGGTCAGGGTCTGGTCTGAACCCTCCCTGCAGTAAACTGCTTTGGTGCAGAGTTCAGATCTAGGATGGCCTGAGGAGACGCCCGCTTTTCTGAAGGACAACCAAGTCAGTGTTCTGGGTGGAAAGCGGGGAATGGTTCTTTCCAAGGCTGGCGTGTGGGGCGCACTCCTTCAGTGGAGAAGCCATCTTCCCTCCCTTAGTTTAGATTACTCTTGGGGACAACATAGAGGGAAGTAGGTTCTTGTCCTAGCTGTTGGGTGGTTAAGTTTAACCTTAGAGAGAAGGATAGTTAGAGAAACTTATGCATACAAAGAGAGTCATGCCATCCATCCCTCCATCCCTCCCTCCCACCTACCTGTCCATATATTATTCTTATCTATCTATCTATCTATCTATCTATCTATCTATCTATCTATCTATCTATCTATCTATCATCCATCTATCCTATCCATCCAGCCACCTATCCGTCCATCCATACATCTACCCACCTATTCCATCCATCTGTCCAAACATCTCTTTATTCAACTATCCAACTATCCACCCAAGCGCCATTCATGAACACACCACTGTACATAAAGCCGTGAATGAGGTGGTCATGGCCCCCACCTTAGTGGATCTCATAGATCTTTGGAGATAGAATTCTCTGATTGGCCAGGCCTGGTTATTTCATTCTCTTCCTTATCAGGCACGATGGGACAACTGTGTTGCTATTTCTACCAAGATCGTCTTAAGAGCGGCTTCCCAGGGGCTGGAGTATAGTTCAGTGGTGGAATAACGGCCTACTATTCAGTTCCCAACACCAACGAGAAAGTAGCTTCCCAGATGAGCACCCCGGGGGAGCTGTTACCAGAACAGAGGAAGGGGTCTTGGCTGGCACAGGCAATGGATGCCCACTTGATCAGAAGCATTCAGTGATCATAGGTGGGGCAGACCAGTGGTTCTCAACCTGTGGGTCGCGACCCCCCTCTGCATCAACCGACCCTTTCACAGGGGTTACCTAAGACTATTGGAAAACACAGTTATTTGTGATTCATAACAGCAGCAAAATTACAGTTAGGAAGTAGCAACAAAAATAATTTTATGGTGGGGGGGTCACCGCAACAGGAGTATTAAAGGCACAAACCCTTCGGAAGGTTGAGAACCCCTGGGGTAGAGGGATGGGAAAGAAAGGGTGGGGTGGGTGGGAACTCAAGAGTTTTTCTTCATCTGTATGACAGTGTTTCTCTTGTTTCTCTTTGACTGATCATCAGAGTCTGGCCTGGGCCCCCTCTTGTAAGGACCCATGAAGATCCATTTCCTTCTAGAGATGTGGATAGCAAGGTCTTGGCTGGAGTCTAAACCAGTGACTGCCACCTCTGGCCTCTCATTTGGAAGTGTATGGAGAGTTTTTTTAAGAATGCAGATGCCAGGAGCCCCATGGGCCAACCATCCATGATATGTGGACGAGTCACGATCGCCTCAGTCACAGTTTATGTCCTGTGGAATATTCATGAATCGTGCTTGGTGGGATAAGTGGATAGGATCCAGGCTAAATTGGTGCCCGGTGGGTCTCGGGGAGCCGAATGTTGTAACTGGTCTCTACAAGATTCTGGTGTGTGCCTGAGTGTTGGGAAACCCTACTGAGAGTTGTTGAGGGCAGAGGAGTGACCTTATCGATGCTCTGCCCGCCCGCCTGCCTCTCAGCATTTGCAGCAGGTACTCACCAAATATTTGTGAGGAGAGTGGTGAGAGCTGCTTGTTTGTTTTGGGTGGTGAGTTTCTCTCTCTGTAGCCCAGGCAGAGTTCAAACTGGAAGCAATCCTACCACCTCTGCCTGTCGGGTCCATGCCTGACTACGCCCAGTTCAGTGATGGGGAGATTGAAAGCAAACCTCCATGGTGGAGAAGTGGCTCCTCCTGAAGAGACCTGCCCTCTGCCCCCTTCCTCCTAGTCCACACTGCAGGAGTGCAGTCATTGTTCTCAAACCTGGGTTGTGACCAGGACCTGAGCACCCCCCCACCTCCCCAGACTTCTGATCTTTTGATTTCCTGAAGTCTTAATCACCTCCCCACATGTGGCCCCAGGTAAAGGTCTGGCCTTTATAAAATTGTTCTGGTGGCTGTAACCAGCCAGGGACACTGGGGACCACTGCCCGACTCTCCTCTGCTACCTACTTTCTCAGTTTGAGAAGTTATAAGTAAGATGAGAGGTTCCCAGGAGGGTGGTCCTGGGTTTTGCTGTGTTCAGCAGCCATCACATCTTCATCCTGGGGGCTTGATCCAATATTTCTGGGCTTGAACCCAGACTTATGGAACCAAAAGCCATGGGGAGGAGTCAGGTAATCTACAGTTTTCATCAGGCGGATGTATGAGTTACCTGTCAGCCCTACCTCCCACACACCAGACCACTTCCTGTTCTCACTGTCAGGACAGGGTCCCCAGATCAGCATCAATCAAACTCTTCGCGTGTCACTTCCCCTGGTACCAAGTCCTCTCCCGGTGGTCAAAACGGGTCGTGATCTTTATCCCTTATCTGCCCCAATAAGGCTACAGTGGCTCTATACGCCAGGTGGCAGCGGGTAGATGGCCCAGGTCTGGTCAGTTGAGGTCGGGGCTTGCAAATCAGAGACTTGGAACAGCACCACAGCTGTGGGCATGCCAGAGAAGACAGGGCGTCCCTCGCCTGCGAAGGAGAGGAACCAGGAAAGGCTCAGCGAGTGGTCCCTAAGGTAGAGCTCGCGAGCAGCAGCTTTTGGCGGGACCGTGGATCAGACACTGGCAGGTGAAGCAGAAGTTGCCCGGGCCTGTCGCTCAGGCCAGACCGGGCTGTGCCCCTCCTCGTCTGGGCGGCGCCCCGCCCCGCCAGCCACCGCCGTCCCGCCCCCGCCCCCTCCAGGCTGCAACAGGTGCCTTGAGCAGGAAGCTCGCGCCGTCACCCGCTCCCCGGACGCGGACGCGTCCAGGACCCACTGCGCTGCGAGTCATCCCCGGCCCCGGCGTGCGCCCCAGACACGGTGACGCCGGTCCGCGCGAGACTCCTCCTCTCACCGCGACCCTACCAGGCCCCGCAGCCCGGCTGCCCCAGCCATGGACGCCCCGGAGCCGCAGCCCGACCCCGACGGTGGGGACGGCCCAGGCCACGAGCCTGGGGGCAGTCCCCAGGACGAGCTGGACTTTTCCATCCTCTTCGATTATGACTATCTGAACCCCATCGAAGGTCGGTGGAGGCTCCCCCCGCCTGGCCCTCGAGCCCTGGCGGGGACTTGGGCCTGGGGACCCGGTGCAGGGCTTTCTTCAGGAGTTTGCAGCAGGGACTGCCCCTGCCCCGGTGACAGGGGAGGTTAGCCAGAGACAGTGGCTGCAACCATCCTGAGGGGGCGGTTTTCAGTTCCCACCGAGGGTCGCTGTTAGCATAACAAAGGATGGTCAGGTTCCCCAGGACACCCCAGAGGTAGTGGAAGTGATGTCTTTGCCCTCTGAGAGTAGAGTCGGTGGAGGGGCGTGTGCCCAAAGATGTCAGGAAGGCTACTAGAGTCTGAAGATCTTACCCCTGAGGCTGTGAGACAGTGGCCCTGTGGCATCCTGGGAGCCTGTTGTTGGGGACTTTGTGTTGAAACTAAGGAAGAGGCTGTGTGTCTCATGCTACAGGGTGGTTTGCCTTGGCTGTCAGGAGGCTGGCCCATTTCCTCTCTGAGTTTACAGTCACCGCAGGTGGACCAGCACGCTTATTAAGTGATCTTCCACCAGCCCCTCACCCATGCTGTAGTGGATGGGGGGCACCTAGGTGAGAGGGACACAGGCTGTTTCGGCCTAAGCTCAGCCCGTGCCTTCATTTGGCCTCTGTTGCTGGGGGTTGGGCAAATGCCCCCGTCAGTCACTTGGGTGTTCAGCAACATTCTGCCAGAAGCAGCAGGAGGCTCTGCGCCCAGCCTCACGGTTACTAGTTAGAAAGCGTGCCTGGGAGCAAACAAGAACCTAACCAGGTTTCCTGATTTTAGAGCAGCTCAGTCCATACTTGTGGCAGGCTCAGGAGCAAGCCTGCTGGCAGCTTCCAGATGCCCCGATGGCTCCAGGCTTGCTGGCATCTGGTATCTGGTGCCTGGTGCGTAGGAAGGGCCACGATGCTGGCTGGAAGATGTTGTTTGAGAGTCGTGGTGGCATTAACCTTTCCCCCAGCAGGGTCCTCATGGGCAACCTTTGGGAAAAGACCTGCTTGGTGACAATTTTGTGTGTTTTGGCTAGAGGTGATAACTATAGTGGAAGAGGCAGTGTTGATGTTTCAGGCAGCTTTCCACTGAAAAGACAATTAGGAATCTAAGCCATCCACAGGTATCAGTGGTCTCTGTGTTCATTAAGATTGAAGTCACGCCTGGTGGGGAATTCTCACACCTCTCTCAGGTTCACAGTTTCTCTCTCTCTCTCTCTCTCTCTCTCTCTCTCTCTCTCTCTCTCTGAGGTGAGGGTGGAGGGTGAGGATTTCCGGGGAAATAGTTTCCAAGCCAAATCTGGTGGGAGGTGCTTTTTATAGTTTTTCTTGGCAAATGGGGCTCAGTGGCCAGCAGATGGGCAGCTTAATGACCATGGGAAAGCCTAGTAACCTGTGTTGTTGTTTTTTTAATCATAAACTTTATTTTGGGGGTTCCAGTTTCTCATTTATAGAAGTACTATGATAGTAACTCAGTAGCCCGCTTCTCTCTTATTATGGACCCGGGGCATTAACAGAGCATATGTACTTGATCCTGATGCTTGGTCATTAAGAAAAGTCTGTGCTTTTCCAGTGTGTGTGTGTGTGTGTGTGTGTGTGTGTGTGTGTGTTAATAGCCTTGAGGTACTGTGTTAGAAATAGGTGCTATAGATATGTTATATACAGCCTGTTTAATTTATGTCTGTGATAGGGTATCATGTAACTTAGGCTGGCCTGGAACTAGACAGCTTCCTCGCCACAGCATCTTCAGGGGTCACAGGCCAATGCCACCGTGTTTTAACTTGGGTTTTTCTGATGTTTTTCTCATGGTTAGATCAGGCTAGAGGTGTTTGGGAGATTACGGGAGTGTGAGGCCATTCTCTTCTTATGTCAAGGGGACATCCTGTCAGCCCGATTCATTGCTGTTGACCCGACCTTCCCTGCAGGGGAAAGGCCTGTGATCTTCTTCCTGGTGACCCCTTTCCAGATTGTGTTTGTAGGAAAGTCACTAGGTGAGGCCCTTGCTCAGGTGTGGCGAGTGATGCTCTGGGAATCTACTGGGAAGGTGAGGCCTCTGGGTGTGTGTGTGGGGGGGGACAAGTGTCACAGAAGGGACTCCATGGGTCTGTAGCGACAGCTGTGGGGTCACCTCTGGGGGTCTCCCCTCTCCGTTCCTTCATAGTGGGACTTCCTGAGACCTAAGCTGACCTCCATCTTGATACTAGGCTTTGGCTCTAATGATGTGCCTTTAGTCAGCTGGCCACGAGCCTGGTAAAAGCCACAGGAGAAAAAGGGTCAACAACGAGAAAGATGCTGCATACCAACAGGTGAAGGCAGTTTTGGGAGGTCAGATCTTTGGATTGGTCCGTGGGATATACCTCTCACCCTAGTAGGCAGGCACGGTTTTTGACTCCCATTTTACAGAGGAGAACTCGAAGGCCTAGAGAGGTGGAGTAAGTTTTTGGAAAAAGCAGAGTCGGTCAATGGCTGAGCCTAGGCGCTGATCTACTGTGGGAGACACTTGGTCCACAGGCCCACGGCAAGCAAGGGACTGAAGATAGGAAGAGTGGGCTAGGGCAAGTCATTTAACCTCTTTTTGGACCCTTGTTTGCTTGTTTGTAAGTGACTAAAATGGTAGTTCTATCCCACAGTGCACTTTGAGTGAACTAATTCACTGAAATTTACCTCTGTGGGTTTTGTCTCTAGCATCTACTAAACCTTTCCTGTCATGGTCAGCATGAGCCATTCATTCTTCTGTCACTCATCCAACTACTTTTCTAAGCACTTACCATGTTTGATCTTGGGGCTACCCCAGGTGAGATCCAGTTCTGCCCATGCTAGTGTTCCGAAACAGGCCTCTCTTGTCTTTCTGAATGCATTGGCTGATACCTAAAATGAAAGATTACATCAAAGTGGAGATTGTAGGCCTCTCTCTCTCTCTCTCTCTCTCTCTCTCTCTCTCTCTCTCTCTCTC